AAAAAAAAAAAAAAAAAAAAAAAAAAAAAACTCATGTCTTTGCTCTTCTAGTTCCGTCACACTCAAATTAAGCACGAAAACCTCCTCTAAACATATCCGTAAACCATCCGAACCCATCAATACCACTGCCATGACCTCATCACACACCTTATCTCACTTCTACGCACACACCTAAAACATGTTTGGGTAAATTTCTTGGAGACATTTTCATAAGATAAAAATAAAAAAATAAAATAAAATAAGCTTTGTCATAAATTGAAATTAACTTAATATATAAATTAATTTGTAAAACTTTTCTCTTATTAGTTTTTTTTAAATCTTTATTTTTAACTCATACATAAATTAATGTTAACTTATGAGAAAATTTATTTCAATTCTTTTTCGTAATTAGAATTGTAAGTGAATTGGTGAAAGTAGACATTCTTATACCATAATTGCTTAAACAAAAAGTCTCAATTTAGCACTAAACCTCATTCTATTAGTATTTAGTGCTCAATAAGTTTTTTTTTCTCACAAACTGTAGGATGCAAGCTCTTGATACCATTATTAGAAATATTTTGTGAGAAATATAAAAAAATTGGATCTTGTAGACAAATTGAAATTAAAATTAGAGATGACAAATTGCCATTAAAATTCATAGAAGATGATGCCTATACATAAAATATAAAACTATAACAATAATAAATATGCTTATAATAAATTTAAAAATTCTAATAAATCTCAATTTAAACACCTATGGTCAAGTGTTATTCCTCCTTTCATATGCAGAGTCTTTGTTTTCTGTGCTTGATAGGAGGTGGAGTACTCAAGTGATGTTTTGCTTTCTACTTTTACCCATGTTATATAGGTGACATGGTTGTCTAAAAATACTCTGCACATTAAAAATGTTAGAATCCCTATCCTCTCAGTGATTTTTATGATTATTTCAGTAGTCTCACTTTTTGGTTCGCTTTCCAAATTAGGGCATGCGCATCTTGCTCTTTGTGGAAGTTTCATATTTTGAAGTAATTTCTAGCTAGTTCCTATCAATCATCCTAGGTTTGTTCAGGTGACTCAAGTGGAATGGCACCCTCCTGCTTGTGGATTCATCAAATGTAACACAGAAGGTGGTGTGTAGGGCTCTCCAGGGCACGTTGCTACTGAAGGTTTGTTTAGAGATAGTAGTGGGGTTTTCTTAGGAGGATTTGTCTTATACATTGTGTTGTTGATGCCTTGAAGGTGAAGTTGGTTGTTTCTATGTTAGCGATTGCATATGCATTTTTAGCAAGATGGCATAGGTTTTGGTTAAAATGTGATTTCATGATGGTTTTACTGCCTTTCACAATCCTACCTTGCTGCATTGGTTTAGTCGTAGTCAATGGAACTTGTTTGGTTTTGTGTTCTAAGAAGCAGTTTCAAGCTTCTCATATTTTTAGAGAGGGTAATTGTTGTGTTGATAAACTTGTGGCAAATGCTTTAGCACATAGGAATGGTTTTGTTTGGTAAGACACTTTACCTTCTTTTATTGAGTCTAAGTTTTTCCCTAACCATTGCAGTCTACTTTATTTTCATTTCTATTAATTTTTCTTTGGTTTTGGTCTAGGCCACCCAAGTTCTTTATTTTTCTTTCCTTTTCATTTTGTTTAGGTGTACTGTGTTGAGTGTCTTTTATTCATGAATTACACTCAACTTTTGGTACTCTTTTTGGATAAACTATATATATATATATATATATA